CCAATATATACTAAGTCCCCTACTTAAGAACAAGTTCCATTCAGGGAGAATGTTCACAAGTCAGATTCTTTTATATCTGATAAAGTGAGCCTTACACAATACACCCATGAAACTTCAAAGCTCACATTTTTTTGTTTGTTTTTCTCTTTTTGAGACAGGATCTTGCTATACTTTTTGGTCTGGCCTTAAGCTCTCAAAGCCCAGACTAGTCTTAATCTTACAACAATCCTCCTGCCTCAGCCTCCCAAATGCTGGGATCACAGGCTTGTATTATCTCGCCTGGCTCAGATGTTTGTAAGTTGTAGACTGGCCATGTATTCAAAATAAAGTTAAGAAAATAGTTCCAGTCAGAGTACTGTTACAAAGAAATTAAATACTTGGAAACAAATTTAACAAACAACATAAGACTTAGACTCTGAAAACTATGAAACATTGTTGGGAGAAATTTAAAAAGACAGATGAAAAGATACATTCATAGGTTGGAAGATTTTGTGTGTGTGTGTGTGTGTGTGTGTGTGTGTGTGTGTATTTTTTTTTTTTTGCTCAGGCAGGACTCTGTCTTCTGCCTCATCCCCCAAAGGTGCTGTGGTTACAGACTTATACCATCATGCCTGGCTAAAACTCTGCAACTGATTTTAACTGAAATCCTAAGGCAGTGTAACCGGTAAAGAAGTATATTTCCTCGATGATGCTAGAACAATTGGATATCCATGTGTAAAAATATAGACATTGTACTCCTTATTTAATAATCCAGCTGTTTGATGACTGAATTTGAACTTAAAAACCAAGGCATATTGTTCAGATTTATAACTGCATTGATTACTTTTCTCTTGTTGCTGCGAAAAAAACCCTTGATGCCCAAAATTAAGGAAGAAAAGGTGTATTTAGCTCACAGTTTGTAGAGTCCATGTTAAGCTGGTTCCAAGGCAGGGTAGTGTTGCAGAGGAACAACAGTTAATGACAGCAGAAGACAGCAAAAGCAACAAGAGTAAAAAAAGGAGGAACATGGAGAGAAGGCTCTTTCTGTCCCTTGGTGGTTGTAGCTCTCACACCTGTAATCCCAGCATTGGACCATGAATCAATCACAAATTCTAGAACCCTGCCCCCATGACCGCATGAGACACTGGGAGAACATCCAGACACAAACCATAACAATGACTCACTGCTTGGACTTTTGAGCTACCCCCCCCCCCATACCCCTGTACTGGAAATTGAATTTAGGACCTTTTGTTTACCAGCAAGCACTGTGACACTGAACTACATCCCCAGCCCAAGCCATCTTTTTTGGTGTGTATAGTTTGGTACATCTTGTTTATAGAGCCTGAGTATCTTTTTTTTTCTTCTATGAAGCACACCTTGTTTATATAATACAGTAATTTTTGCTAACTATACTGCAGAGTACTGTAGTTTTATGTTCTGTTATACATTATATTACTGCATGTAATAGTTACGCAAATAACTTGGCCAGAGTCATCCAGTTGGAGTTGCCTTTGACCATTCCTTTTTTTTGTTTGGAGACAGGATCTTGCTGTCTAATTCAGACTGGCCTTAAATTCACTGTGTAGCCCAGGCTGGCCTCGAACTCATGGCAGTCCTCTTGCCTCAGCCTCCCAAGTACTGGGACTTGGACTGTTTCTTTGTCCTGAATATTGTGATGTACATACAATATATAATTCCTCATTTAACAACCAAGTTTTAATAACCTACTTGCAGGAACATAACTTGATTATTAATTTAGGAATGTTTGTGTTTAATGTGGACCTCTACCTTATGGTACATATTAAAATGAACTCAAAATAGATTATAGTCCTAAATGTCAAAACTAAAGCTATAAATTTTTAGAAGAAAAATTCTAGGAAAACATCTGCATGATCTTTTTTTTGTTATTATTGTTGTTTTGAAACAGGGTGTCTCAGATAGTTCAAACTATCCTTGAATGCACTATGTAGCCCAAGCCAGCCTCAAACTTGAACTGATGATCCTCCTGCCTCAGTCTTCTGATTGCTGGGATTATAGGCGTGTACCACCACATTCAGCTTTCCTATAACAGCAAAAGCATAATCCCTTTAAAAAAAAGTGTTAAGTTGAACTTTAAAACTTTTCTACTTCAAAAGGCTCTATTATGAAAATGGAAACAATCCATAAATTCTTTTTTGATGCTTAAAAAATACATAATATAATAATATAATATAATATATAATAAAATATATATAATATAATATAATATTTTTATATACATTTAATCGGGCCTAGTGGTACAGGTCAATCCCAGCACTCATGAGGCTGAGGCCAGAGGATCATCATGAATTTGAGGCCAACCTGAGCTACATACTGCATAGTGAGACCCTGTCTCAAAAACAAAACAAACAAAAATAGATTGCCCAAAAAATGTATACACCAGGGGGGAAATATTTTATCAGTATTTTAATACTAAATTTATTGAGACATCTGAGATTAATACAAGTTACCTTTCTACAGCTATAAAGAGTGCTCAAAGTGGGTATCCATTAGCTTCCAGACATTTTATTAGTATGAGAACTGCTACTTCGGTAACTTTGGCCATTGAGATTGCTGAATGAGCCGGAAATTTAGCTCAATGGTATAAGTGCCTGCATGGCAACTGCGAGGTTGTGAGTTTGATCTCCGGTACCAAAAAAAAAAAAAACAGATTGCTGAATGTGCATTTTTAAATTGCTTTTCTAAGGGCCCCAGGTGTGGTGGGTTTTCTGTGATAGATGACATCCTCTCAGGTCCCACATTGAGGATAACACTACCTGTTGAAAACCATCATACTTACTTTTCTTTTCTTGAAGTGTGTATACATTTTTATTGGTGAATTTTGTATATTTTTAAAAATTTATTGGTATTTGTTTGCAGTAAATACTAATTACCTTCATTTTGAGGAATTGGTAAAACTTATACATACCACATTAATTAAAAATATTTAAGCCAAATGTAATGTGCACATCTGCCATTTCGGCTGTCAGGAGGCTAAGACAGGAGGATCATCACAAATTCAAGGCCAGGGGCTGGGGATTTAGCTCAGCAGCATAAGCGCCTGCCTTGCAAGCAGGCAGTTGTGAGTTCGATCCCTGGTACCGATGAAAATGAAAAAGACAAAAAAACAAACAAACAAACAAATTCAAGGCCAGCTTGGGCTACATAGCAAGATTCCCATGTTAAAAAAAGTCACAAACAAGAATCTCATTTTCACTGGGCGTGGTGGCACATGTCTGTAATCCCAGGCACTCAACATTCAGAAGGCCGAGACAGGAGGATTGTTGTGTGCTCAAGGCCAGCCCAAACTGCATAGTGAGACCCTATCTCAAAAAAATAGGAAGAAAAAAAATCTCATTTTTACCATTTTATTACAGCTAATGCCTCAACTCTTTACTTTGGAAATTGGGAACTAAAAGGAGAAAATACCTATCTTTTGTATATGCAATTTATACTCCAGTATGAACAAATAGCTCTGCTTGGTAAATTTTGTTTGAAGAATTCCATGTAGTGTAAATGTAGCAGGCATGACATAAAATTATCATTAAATTACTCCCAGTACTCCAATTACCAACTTTTAGATTTTCAGTTTCAGGTTTATAATTTTAAACCATATTGTTACCATTTTTATAATTCAAAAGCAATAAAATACTGACAGTTTTATAGTGTTCAACTTAAAATAGGCTAAAGAAAAATTCCTTAGTTGAAATAAATTCATTCTTTTATCTGAGGCAGATACATTGCTTAGAGTAACTTTTACAATTACTCTAGATTTAGAGGATTTCTTATCCCAAAGGATGTAACAAATTGACAGTAACATAAGCACAAAATGGCATGATAAAAAACAGTGGTTTTTAGGCATGATAAACTTGTCCAAAAAAATGGTAGAAATCAAATACATTCTTAACAAAATTCTAGCTTTTTACCAACAGAAATAAAGCCCCAACTGAAAAAAGTACTTTTCTTTTTCCTTCCTTCCTTCCTTCCTTCCTTCCTTCCTTCCATGTGTGTGTGTCTGTGTGTTGTTAGGATCAAAACTACAGCTTCTTGCATGCTAGGCAAGTGCTTTACCACCCCAGCCTATGGTCACTTTTCTGATCCAGTGTTTCATTTCTTGTTTTTAAATATTTTTCAATTTTTAATGACTTATTTACTTTGTTTTTATGCTAAGTAATGTAACCCACAAATACTTAAGGGGAAAGTATATAAACATACTTAGATACCTAATATACAAACACATTTGTCTATGGAACAATTAACCTTTTGTAGTAGAATTTGCATCAGTGTTTTCTGAAGGTTTTTTTGCTTCCTCCCTTCTTTCCTTCTTACCTTTCCTTTTGTCTATTCTTTTTATTTCCCATATATATATTTTGGATTCTTTAACAGCAGCCAGGTGCAAGATTTTACATGTGTTTGGACCACAGAAGGAAACTGATTATTATTGTGTGCTACAAAGGAAAACTTGTTTTCTTTACTTAATTTTTTTATATTGAAAAAATTGTATCTGTTTTTAGAAAATCATATCTGTAGGTCTCTGGCCATCTATGACATCAGAACAATTGAGAAGCATTTAAATAGTAAGATTAATCAAGATAAGTAATTTACATCAGCAATATTTTCTAAAATCCTGTAGAGGCAAAATGTTGTTTGAGGAGCACTCATTACATACTACAATTCAAGTAAAAACATAGTGCTAACTAAAATTCTCATTGCCATGTTACCTATAAAGTAAGAAAAATGAAGATGAGAATGAGCTACCTTGTAGGAATGTATGAGGACTGGAGATGATCCATGTAAAGGGCCTGAAACTGTCTCTAACATTGCAGGTGCTTATTACGTGGAAGCACTTATCACTGGAAATTTTGTTCATTCCAACTTGGGTAGTATGTGCTTAAGTGTTCTTTATTCCTTCAGCAATCATAGATGCCATTTGCATCTTAAACTACTGGCCATTATCAAACTGTTCTTATGTGTTAATGTCTTTGTTTTGTTTCATCTTACAGGCAACAATTGGCATTGACTTTTTGTCAAAAACAATGTACTTGGAGGATCGAACAGTGAGTAATATTTTCAGTGTGCAGTTTTCTGGAACCATATTAGAAACCTATGATCAAAGCTGTAATCAGTGATAGTCCTGTAGAAATAGGTAACAAAGTTACTAGTTAATGTATAGGCATTGAGAAAAATTGGTATTACAGAATGAGTTGTTCTAAACCCTGTAACTTAAGTCCAAGTGAGATCCAAAGGGGGAAAGAAAAATACATTTTTTATAAAACCCTGTTGTGCCTAGCCTTGTTAAACAAACTGTCATCTTGATTTGGAAAAATGACAACTGATAGCTTTAAAAGAGGATTGAGAGAATTTTCATAAAGAAATTAGAGCTGATTGGGCCGGGGGTTTAGCTTAGTGGCATAAATGCCTGCTTGGCAAGCACGGGGTTGTGAGTTCAATTCTTGGTACAAAAAAACCCCCCAAAAACTAAAAATCTTAAATGCCACTCTTAAGGCATTCATCATACAGTTTGTGAACTTGATTTTCTTTGTCAAAATAGTGTATATCTCAGAGTAACTGAATAGGGGAGAAACTGTATTTGTTAGACTTTTATCTTCTGTCTAGGGTACTCTTTAAATCAAATGTAAATTTTGTATTCTAGCCTACTACTACTCCTTGAAGAAATTCTATCACCTAAACATTGAATAGCGTAAATGCAATATTGCAGGAGTTGTATCTAAAATGTTATTTTTCCTCTAATATTAATTACTATAAAAATCTAAAAGATGTTATTTTCCTCCAGTGTTATTTACTATAAGTGTGTGGGGTTTTTCCTTTTGAATGTTCTCTTTTATATTTTCATATACATATAATACACCATTTCTTAGAACTTGAAAGCTTGGAGACTGCTTTATAATGGTAAGAGAATTTAATGCTTGTTTTCAGCTTGTTTTTTTTGTAATCTAGATGTGAGAAAGTAAGTACAAGAGTGTTGTGTTGGGTTGCGAAAAGATATTTCTTCTTTTTTGGTTGTCTGCATTGATTTAGGGAGAAATATATGGAAGAAACAGAAGCACAGTGGGAAAAGACCCAGTTTCAAAATATTCTAGACTCAGTAAGAAAGAGATACATTTTAGCTCCAGAGTTTTTCAAAGAAGTATTAGCACCTTTGCTTCATAGCCTGAGGTGCTCATTTGACATTTACCCTCCTTTTTTCTTTTATGTTCAGTATTGAATATCAGCAGTATTTTTTTCATCTGAAAGGTATAGAGATTCAAAGAAGTTATAGAAAGAGACAAAAGGGAAGCTGTATTCCTGGTTCTTTGAAATCTTTCACAGTGATATTTTTTTAGTCATATATCATCAGAGCAAGACATTTTTAATATTACTCCCTTTTGAAAAGAAATTTTGTGTTATTTTCATTCCTTCTCTGCAATCTTTTGCTTGAGTCTTTTCTCTACCTCTCATCCTCCCCCTTTACAAAAGCATTTTCTTTTTTCTTTATTTTTTTCTTTTATTTATTTTTTTAGTGTTAGTTTTTTTGTTTTTTGTTTTTTTTTTATTTATTTTTTCCCATCCCACAGATCAGGCTGCAGCTGTGGGATACTGCGGGTCAGGAACGTTTCCGTAGCCTCATTCCCAGTTACATCCGTGATTCTGCTGCAGCCGTAGTAGTTTACGATATCACAAGTAGGTATATTGCAATGGGTTGACCTTTCTTATTTTTCTTGCCTGTTTGACTGATTTTGTTGTTAGGTACGATTGCAATTGTGGGACACAGCAGGTCAAGAGCGGTTCAGGAGCTTGATTCCTAGCTACATTCGTGACTCCACTGTGGCAGTTGTTGTTTATGATATCACAAGTGAGTGGGGGGAATTACGCGTTTCTAATCTTTCAACCTTTAGCTTAGCTGCATGCATGTTCTTGTGTTGTGCTTGCTTTCCTTTCCTGGCATGTATGATTAATTTTATCATGGTAAACTTTATCACAGACCAGTAGGTCAGAAATACTTGCTTTGGTGTTTGTTACCAGTGTGCTTTATTTCTCCTGTACTAGATTTTTCACTCTAAAAGTTGTCTTTTAGGTCTAATTTTGAGTCCTTTTCACGATTTTCTTAGTATTCTATTATCCCTAAGCTATACCATAATTGACTGAATGAAAATCCTTTTTAATTTAATTTCATCTGAGATTTCTCTAAAATAATCTGCAATTAAACCTCTTGCCAAGTTTTCCAATCCTCCAAGGCTTCTGTTGAGGCTATTAAAAGCTTCTGCTAGTCAGTTTTTTTCTTTGCTTTTCCCTTCAAATCATTCAGTCTATATAGAAGACTGAAAATGTAACATACGCTTTTCTGTTAAATCATTTTTGTTCGAATCATATCTGTGTTCCATGACTGACATTGCTAACAAACTACAATTACATTTCTCTCTAAGAAAAAAACAGTAATGATTTGTGTTTTTTCCCTAAAGACTGAATAATGCCTTTGACCTTTTAAATCACTATAAATTTTCTAAGAGCTTTGGTGACTGACAAATGCTCTGTTTGAAATTGTCTTTGCAAATTGTTTTATGACATATATAAGGCAATATTTAACATCATCCTGTATAGTGGTCCATAATTTATAGCAAAACCAGATTAATACAGCATCTTGGACTTTAAAAAAAAATTGACTTCAGCTAGGATTACTGAAGTATTTTTGCATATCTACGCAGAGGTCCTGGCTACTAAACAAAACTGCAACAGTAAAATTTTATAAGATTGCATTCAGAGACTTTTTTTTAAAGATAGTACTATATGCAGTATTTCTTTTGCAGCTTTACTTTGGGTTGCTACTTGTTTTTAAAAAAATATGTGCACCTTAATATGCTTTTACCAGTTTTATAGCTTTAAAATGTTTGTGCTTACTTTAACCAGAGCAGAAGAAACTGGTGTATTTTTCCTTAAAAATTCTGCAAATATGTTAAAATATTAGTAAGTTGCTTTCTTTAATTGCTGTAAAAAGTATTGAAGTACTCTATTTAGAATCTAATACTAGAAAAGATGGATTTTTTAGAAGTGATTCTGGTACACTAAACCAAATAGGCTTTAGGTTAAAGAGATCACAAACTTGAGTGTGAGCAATGCAAACATGGTTGTGTTGAAAGCTCTTTAAAGACTGCAGATTTTCTGGATGTGTTGGGACTTACTGGCTGACACACTTTTGGAAATGCTTTCTTTGTCATGTTTAGTATGTGTAAGTGATCAAAAAAGCCTTGTGGCAATGTAACACCAAATTATCTGCCATAGCTGTCTTTGTATTTTTAAAAGTTTATTTTTTCCAATTGTATAATACAGGGCACTCATTTGATTGTTGTCAAATTTATTTATTTATTTTTTTGGTCTTTTTCCTTTTTATCGGTACCAGGGATCGAACTCATGACTGCCTGCTTGCAAGGCAGGCGCTTATGCCGCTGAGCGAAATCCCCAGCCCCTATTGTCAAATTTAAATACTGTAATCTAAAAGGAACTTTGAGGATTTTATTCTTTCTGTTTGTTTAGATCACTGACAGTTGTAATCAGATAAAATGGAGTTATGTTGCAGGCACATTAAAAGTGGGTTTCTAATGTGCCGTCCTCCTTCCAACTTCCAGGGTATTTGGGGGGAGTGGTATTGTTTGCTTGGGAGGCATTTTTAGTAACACTCATCTCTGTTCACCCTCCCAAACCAGATGTTAACTCATTCCAGCAAACCACAAAATGGATTGATGATGTCAGAACAGAAAGAGGAAGTGATGTTATCATCATGCTAGTAGGAAATAAAACAGATCTTGCTGATAAGAGGTATGGTTTGATTTTGTGTGCCTGAAATGTTTAATCTCTATGTTAAGTAACCTGTTAATTTTATTTACTGAAAAATTAGAAAGGAAGCATGTTTAATCCTTCATTTTTCCTCAGTGTGAGGACCTAACATGATCAAACTCAGTTCTTAAAGGAAAATGAGTTTTATTTTATGTCAGCCGATGCATAAATAACTCTTGTGGTGGATTGTTTAAACATGAGGCCAGGAAATATTTTATATTTTTAGGTCTCATAAGTAACAACTGTGGTTGGGTATGGTGGCACATGCCTGTAATCCCAGTACTTGGGAGGCTGAGGCAGGAGCATTGCCACAAGTTTGAGGCCAACCTGGACTGGATAGTTCAAGGCCAGCCTGAATTACATAGTGAGAGTCTATCTCCAAAAAAGAAAAGTAGGAACTGTGTTTTGTTACAGAGCAAGCCATTTTTAAAAACAAAACTTTTTTATCTTTAAAAATTATTCATAAATGCACATGTTTTTTGTAATCTTTTTACAAACATTCATTGTAATACAGTGGTATAAGGTATTGAACTGAATAATTTTATTGTTAAATGAGCGAGACCATATTTGGGTCACAAGATGCAAAATATATTAACATTCCTTATAGAACCCATGGTTTGAATTCTTGCTTTCAGCTTTCTTCAGTGATCTACTAGGTATTCTTTTTGCTTTAAATAGCATTGGCCAAAGCACTTAATAGTGGGAGATTTTACGATTTGTTACATATTTATTCATGAATTGCATTATGACATTTGGTAATGAACTTTTGATACTAACTACAATGTTGTGATGAAATCTAACTACGATGGACTTGGGCATGGTGGCACAGTTCTGTAATCCCAGTACTCTGGTAAGCTGAGGCAGAAGGATTGCCAAGTTTGAGCCTTGTCTGGGCAATTTAGCAAGTTGTTATCTCAAACAGTAAAAAGGGAGCTATAGCTCAATGTGAAATCTTCAGTGCCCAGTACTGCCCCCACCCAAAAAAGAACAAAAAAATCACTTGTGGAGACTTTAAGTCTATTTCTGCCCATGGTACCTCAAGAAAACCCTTTAAGTGTCTGTTCTTTTGTTGTTCAATTTATTTCATTTGAGTAAACAAATGCTGGGAATATATAATTTATATTTACAATATTTTTTTCTTATAGTAATATCAGCTGCTCTAGAATTACCATCTTTGTTAGTGATTTTTGCTAGGATATTACCTCTGACTTAATCACATTTTTAAAAACGTAGAGCCTAATCATTCCACTAAAATGGTTTCTGAATGAGATTTAGAAGTGTAACAAAAATGTCAATAGGAAATGTAGTGGCATAAGAGCCTGCCTGGTAAGCATAAGTGCCTGCCTGGCAAGCACTAGGTTGTGAGTTCGATCCCCAGTACCCGAAAAGCGTTAACAGGCAATGCTTTGGTAGAGAGTGGTCTTTTATAAGCATGACACGAAAACCTAAAGCCATAAAGAGAGAGATTGGTACATAAAGTACATAAAGAACATTTCACATATTACACTGAATATGATTTAAAGTTGAGAATAACAGTATTATCAAGTATTATCAAATTGAAATAAGTAAAATCTCTTGTATACTGAAGATATAATGGAATGTACCTTTTTTGTAGGGGGATTATACTTTTGAGAAGAAACAATTTGACAATATCATAGTTTGAAATATTTATTGACTAGGGGCTGGGGATTTAGCTTAGTGGCACAAGTGCCTGCCTTGCAAGCAGGTGGTCGTGAGTTTGATCCCCGGTACTGATAAAAAGAAAAAAAAAGAATGTTTATTGTTCCCATCACGTGGCTCACCCTTGTAATCCTTGTAGTCAGGAAGCCTCAGACAGCAGAAGCACAAGTTCAAAGCCAGCCTGTGCTACATAGTAGCAGGTTCAAAGCCAGGCTGGACTATGTAATGAGTCCCTGTCTCCAGGGAATGAATGAATGAGTGAGTGACTGTTGTAAAGACTAATGTTTCACTTTTTAAACCTTATGATTCAATGATTACTAGATGGGGTCCTTGATTATATATTTTAAGTAATCTTCCTAGATGATTCTGACACAGTAAAACCACAATTGGGACTATCCTATAACAAACTTAATTATTTTATTAGGGTGAGTTACAGTTACTCTAGTGAACATAGGATCCTAAAGTAAGGAAGGAATTCTTTCTGAATTGTTCATATTTAGAATTTACAGGCTAGAGATCATTCAAGTGTTTATTGTCATTTATGTTCCAGATGATACTGTTCCACCATAGAGTAGTGCACTAGGAAGACTAAAAGTCAAGTTTTAAGAAGCTTTTATTCCAGAGAACGGTATAGACATTTAAGTAAGTTAGTAAGGTGGGCATGGTGGTACACAGCCACGTGGTAGGCTGAAGCAGGAGGATCTTGAAATTAAAGACCAGCCTGGACAACACTGCCAGACTCCATTTCAAAAACAAAACAAAAAAGAATCAAATACATAGTATGTTAAATAGTAAAACATGCTAAGGGGAAAATAAAGGAGGGAGAGGGCTTGAATCAGAATAGCCATTAAAACCCTGAAGGGAGGGCTGGGGCTTTAGCTCAGTGGCATAAGCACCTGCTTTGCAAGTGTGTGGTTGTGAGTTCGATCCCCGGTACCGATAAAAAAGAAAAAGACCAAAAAAAAAAACAAAAACCCTGAAGGGAAGAGCCATGATGAGCACTTAGCTTTTCTCTAATGGAATCAAGGAATAATATCTTGGTCATATGTAAATCAAGGAAGCTGTTAAAGATCACAGGGGTTTTTGCAGCTTGAAAACCCAAAGAAACTTTTAGGTGAAGATAGGAAAATTTGAGAACAAATAATTTACTGTGGACTATTTAAATCCATAAGTCACACTGATATTATACTTCCAAAGGAAACTCGTTGGTTGTCTTTGGAAAATGCTTGCGACTGTTTTGAACATTTATTCTTTCATTCCATGAGTACCTGAGGATAACTAAATAGTTGAGAAAGTTTGTCTTTAAAAAAAGTAATTCAGCCAAGCACAGCTCGAGAGGCTGAGGCAGGAGGATCATAAGTTTAAGTCCAACCTGAGCAACTTAGTGAGACATTGTCTCAAAATAAGATAAAAGGGCTGATCCTCAACAAACAAGGGTTGGAAGTTCCATTCAATCCAGCTATTCCCCTCCCAGATGTTTTTCCAGAAAAATTGAAAAAGTCATGTCACAGTGATATATGTGCACCCATGTTTACAGAAGAACAATTTATAATAGCTAAATCTTGGAAACAATCAAAATGCCCTTCAACCACAGAGTGGATTTTTAAAAAGTAGTGTTTTTATGTAATGGAATATTACTCAGCTATAAAACGGACAATTTTAAGGCTTACCTATAAAGGGAAATGGAGGCAACTTGAGGCTATCCGCATTAAGTGAAATAAACAAGACTCACATTAGTAGATATCACATTGTCTCTCTAGTATAAAAAATAATAATTGAAGGAGTAATAAGATCCAAAATGTGTAATAGATATGATAAAAATGAAAGGGAAGGACAGTGCTCTAACAGATATAACTGTATATATGTTTAAATATGTAAGATAGATAACCATATTACTAAGTTTGTGTTGGATCACTGAACAGAATGTTTTGTACCGTCATTGTTTGTCTATCCACTTTTTATGCTTTGATTTTGTACAACTATTTTGGACAACTATTTCTAAAATGACAATATAATTTATCAACTAGTGATTTCTTAATATATTTTTTTAAATTCTGTATTATTTCTTTAAAAAAAAAGATAAAAGGGCTGGGGATGTAGCTCAGTTGTAGATCACTTGCCTAAGTAGGCACAAGGTTCTGGTTTCAATCCCTAGTGTGTTTTTGGAAAATTTTATTTCCCATAAAAAACATTATTAGGATAATTGGGAGAACATAAATAAAATATAGATTCAGTAATAACATGACATCAATACTAATTTTACAGTTTTAATGTATAATTATGTAAAATTGGGAAATTCACAGGACAGAGTAATTTAGGGATTAACTTACACAGATTGACAGTTTACTCTCAATTTGTTTTGAAAAACATTACTAAAAACTTGTAACTAGGTGTGGCTGTACATGCTTATATTCTCAGTTCTTTGGAGGCTGAGGTAAGAAGGGCATGAGTTTGAGCCTAACCTATAGGCAATTTAGCAAAGCCCTTCTAAATAGAAAAAAGCTGGGATATAACTCAGTGCAAAGGGCCCTGGGCTTAATTCCCATTACCACAAGAAAATAAAAATGTGTATACGCACACACAGGGTAAGAATATAAAGCAAGAGTCGAGCAAAGATGGTGGATAGAAAACAGCAGGTTACAGAGACTCCCTGAGATAGTCAACTTAGAATTCAACATAATACAGCGTGGGGAGTCCTGAACAGAGGGAGATGAATTCTCTTGTCCCAAGAAGAAACTAAGGTGAGAAGAACCAATCAAACATACAGTCCCGGTGCTACTATTGGAACAGCTAAAGGTTCAGTGCTTCCGCTGCAGGGCCGGAAATTGCGCGGCGGCAATTTACCAAGCCATCCAAAATCCCGCCATCCCGCCTCTTTGACTCACTGGAAACACAGTTGCACTGAGATCGGGGGTCAGTGAGTCAAACACCTGAGCTAGCAAGGAACCTGCACTGACCTGTGGTGAGTGATGGGAATAAAACCATTCCACAGAAGAAGAGGCTCCAACAGATGACATTCTGGGACAGGAACAAGGGGCAGCAATGACTTCAGTCAGTTGTTCCCTTCCGAAATGGGATTGGTGGAGTGAGCTTGGCCTGGGTCATGTGACCTGGCTGAGGCCCAATAGGTTATCCAAAATCAATTCCCTATGGCAGTGGCGCACATTAACACAGTGAAGGCCTCAGCAGGTTGACTGATCCAGAGGCGGGCAGCACACACTAATGCAGTGAAGGCTTTAGCAGGTTGACTGATCTGGAGGGGAAGGGCCAGCATATGCTGCCGCTGTTTACAACTTACTAGC